AAAGAGCGCCGGGGGGGGGGGGGGGGGATTCACTTGATGGGCAGTGATGATACCCCTCGCTCTGCTCTCCAACTTTTTCTTTGTATTTCTTTCCCACAACTTCCTCTCTGTGAGGGTATAAGTAGGGGGTCAGGGAAAGACATGAAAATCATTTGACACCTTCATCATGTTGGTAAAGGATACGGCCTCAGTGACTTCCAACAAGTAGCTTCATGGTTTTGTGCCAGTAATAGCCTTCTTAAAGGCTTTGGTCCATGTTCCACTATTTCCAGCTAGAATTTCTCCAACACAATTCTGCAAAGTAATGATGATGAAATGATGATGACAACTATTATGATAAATTTTATCCTAAAATTATTTGTCCTGCTTCCTAAATAACAAATAGAGACAAGCTCACCGGTTGCTATGAAACTTATAAGATATTTTTTATAGTGAAATGGGTAGAAATGTCCATATCTCTCTCCTTCTTGTCATGGAGGAAGGGGGCTGAACCAGGGTTCATTCAGATCCAGTGAGGTGTGTGGAGCATCCAGCGATTTCTTTCACCAATTCGGCACTTCCTGTCCAAGAATATGACATCAATGTCATTGGGTGTGCACATAGTAACCTCTGAGACCCAGTCTCCATTCTGCCATTATTCCCTCTCGTGATCCTTCACCCTAAATTTATTATGGTTTAGAGTCCACTCATCCCTAACTGCCCCCATTCTTAAACTATAAGAATGGTTTTTCACCAAAGCAGAACAAAATACATGCCCAGCATTCACCTGTTTCATACTCTCAGAATTGATCTGCCTGTTACCTTTTAAAGAGAAATCCAACGTGCTTATCTTGGGCAAAAACTCAAGAGTCAAAATAGATAAAGAGTGTCTGTTGAGTGTCACTTGACTTCACAACCAAGCTGCAAAATGATATGACGTTTGTCTTTAGAAGGACAGGCTTTGGGGCAGGGCAGAGAAGATGCAGCATCTTCAGTGGGTTGGAAGCATGGGTCTAAGGGCAGAACACAGAACTTGCTCATCCAGAACACCCCAGATCTGGTTTGCATGCATGGTGGATGTGGAACCCCATTTCAGGAGGGGCTTCTGTGGATCCTTCTGGCCAAAAACAGGGCCAGTGTGCTGTTTCAGGATAGAAAGGGATATGGGCAAGAGCTAAGACAGGCGCAGACGCCAAGAGGAGCCATTTGAATACAATTCATTAGTAATGGGACTCTTGTGGAATCGTGGGCATAACATTAAATGTTCAGGCAAGACTCCTAAAATGCTAGGAGAAGCTAACCTATCGGGGCTGTTCCTTCCAGCGGAGTCTCAACCTTTACTGTTTCCTTGGGTCACGTGGGCTCAGGATGGAAACCCCCTTTAAGTGAGAGGTTGGCCATAATGATGAATGTCATTCTTCTGTACTACAGTCCCCAGCAGACAACTCTGTCAGCCGTTTTGCTCATTCATCACACACTTGCTGTGCCTGACCTGCCTCAAGATCTTTGAGGGAGTGAGTCACAATACCTGCCCACAAGGACTTTAATATCTGGAATGATGGTCACACGTGACTCCTATAAGTGGAATAGGGTGGTATACACTACAGCAGTGTCAACAAGGTAGTGTAAAAACTAGAGAGGCCTTAAAGCTGACCTGCCCAATGGCTGAGAGCACAGCCCTCAGAGCCAGGCAGACCTATTTTCAATCCTGAGTCTGTAATTCATTTGCTGTGTGACCTGGGATAGATCATGTAACCTCTCTAAGCCTCAGTTTCTTCACCTGTAAAATGGGCATAACATCTATTTCATTACACTATGAGAATCTAATAAAATCTTATGTGTAAAGTAGGATATTAGGGAAAGGTTGATGGAAAGGATTGCTTTTTAATTAAGCCGTTAAAGAGAATTATTCCAGCGGGAGGGGAGGCAGCAGTGTGGTATTTTTTATCTTAAGAACATAAATGTGATGTTAGGAGGACATTTGGCGAATTTATTGCTTTATCTATGTGTGTGTTTGATTACAAATTTATTTGAGGAGACTCCTGAACTATTGATCTTTGCCAACTTCACCTTAGGAATTCAAGGAGTTGTGGAAGCCTATCAGAGCTGCCTTCCAAAGCTCCAACTCTATGGTCCCACCAACATCGCCCCCATCATTCAGAAGGTCGCCAAGTCAGCATCCGAAGAGACGAACACCAAGGAGGCATCGGTAAGGAGAGAGGCAGTTTGCCTGCTAATGGGAGATTGCCCTTTCTCACCTGGATATTGGCCATAGCACCCATCCCATTCTGACAATACATTACAGCAGGTGTGAGTTTGGACAAGTGACTTCACCTTCTCCTATCCTCAGTCTCCTCATCTGAAAACTGGGGATAACCATACCCATCTCTGCTGGGTTATTGTGAGGCTTAGAGATGATGCATCTCCAGCGTCTGCAACATTAGCTGGACAGTGGAATTTACTTTATTCACTGGAGTATCAGGCATACCCACATTGTGTTCTTAGGAAGATAACAAGAACTGTCCAAAATAAACTTGCTTCCCAATCGCATCTCCAGCGTCTGCAACATTAGCTGGACAGAGGGGACACTCAACAGTGGAATTTACTTTATTCACTGGAATATCAGGCATACCCACATTGTGTTCTTAGGAGGATAACAAGAACTGTCCAAAATAAACTTGCTTCCCAATGTACCCATAGTATAGATGAAACTGAAGCAAAATAATAGGTACTTCTGTCCCCTGGTGGTTAAGTACAACACAAAACCTCATAGCAAAGATTTGTTTTGTATTCTATCTGTGGTTTTCTTAAGAAAAATGCAAACCAAAGGTTTTTTGTGCTCAGAGCTATAAAGCTACTTTTGCCCAGCCCTGTATATTACCATAATAACTTTTCTATGTATCATTTTAATGGCATCAATATATTTCTTTTTTAGCTTTGTGACTTCTTTCAGATTTAGTAGAACATTGCTGATGTCTGGCATTTTCTCTGTGATTTTATCCTGGATTCCAAGATATTGCATTTGCAAAAAAAAAGTGATATACTACTCTCTCAGCTTCTTACATCAACTCCGCTAACCTATTTGTGCTGCATCCTGTTCTCAGCCTTCCCTCATGGTAGAATGGATGGAGGACCATGTTCATATCTAACCGAGCCTCTTCTTTTGCATACTGGAGCCATCTCCTCTGAATCATCCAAGGACATTGACCTACCAACTTTCACACCTGTCTCTCACCTATATTTTTCCCCTTTCTACTGAAGACTTATTTTCATTAGCAAATAGCACATCCTATATCTTCTGTTTAAGTTAAAATCTTTCCCTTGACACAACTTTAGTCTAGCTACTACCCCTTATTTTACCTCCCTTTAGAGCAAAATTCATTTAAAAATTTGCCTATACTCACTGTCTCCATCTTTCCTCCCCTTGGTTCCTCTACCTTTACCAGTCAGACTTTCCTCCCCAACATTCCTCTGAAACTACACTTGTCAATCAACAGTATCTCCATTTTTGCCAAACCCACTAAGGCCTTGGAGCAAATTTGAATCCTCATAGACACAAGATTTGAGGATAAGTGTTGGATAGGATCAGTATTTCATTTTATGTTTTAACATTTTTTTCTCATCAGAACTTCAAATTCAAATTCTTCAAATGATATGTTACTCAGAAACCCAACATATACCAGTAAAATAGATTTTAAGAAAACAGATTGTTCTTGGTAAATCTGGACTAAGGGATGGGGTGCAAACTTTTGTCCTTCTCCCCGTTTATCCCCAAGAGCATCCAAGGTGTCCCCAGGGCACCCCAGAGCCCATATTGAAAACACAAATCATCTCGGCCCCTCTGGGGTACCAGGAACTAGAAGAGAAAAAAGAGAACAGGGCTGACATAGGTCTGGACTTAGGCCTGGTATAAACCAACATGAGTTTTGCCCATCACTCACTCCCCCAGGGACAGGTAGTCTGCTCTGTGAGAACAGGTCAGGAAATGGTGCAAGAATGTCTAATCCACAGATCCCCAAACAACTGACCCTTATGGTCCAGGAACAATGGTTCTTTTCCCCAGCTGTTTCTCCTGTTCTTTAAACAATGTGTGGTCCTGCACCCCTTGTTATCACTGATAGCTAAGGGGCTTAAATTTGAACCTTATAGGCAAGTTGTGTCAGGGTCTGGATGTAGGATTTTCTCCTCGACTTTGTGGAACTCTTCTAGAAATTTAAAAAACAAAAAATATCCTCCATGTCTGAACAGGACCTCATATACATTCAAAGACGACTATACTCTTTCATCTGTGAGCATTTCCCTGGCCTGGCTTTGGAAGCAACTGTCACGGTAGCTTTATTGGAAATTTGCATCAGGCCTTTGATCCGACAGTCTGCAGCCTAGTACCTCTGACTAGATTAACTCTGGATCAGATTCTAGAATCCTGATAATCCCTTCAGATCAAGTGTTCTTAACCTTTTTTGTTCCATGGGCCCCATTAGCAGCTGATGAAGCCCAATGGGCCCCCTTCTCAGAAGTATTTTTAAAATGCACAAAATAATCGCATTTTAACATGCATATAAAACATTATTAATAAAATATTTTACACTCTTTTTTTTACACTATGTCTTCAAAATCCAGGGTGTACTTTACACTTACATCATCTTAATTTGGATGCTAAATTAGCATCACACATACTTGATCTTTATTAAAAGAAATTAAAATGTAAAATTCAGTTCCTCCATTGCTCTAGTCACATTTCAAGGGCTCAGCAGTCACATTGAGCTCATGGCTATTGTCTTGGGCAGTGCACCTTTAGACTTAAAAATCTCCAAGCTGAAGAGGCAATTACAAGCAATCTAGTCCCAACCCTCATCTGAGAGATGAAGCTGAAACCCAGAGGAGTGAAGGGATTTTCCCAGGATCTCAGAAAATGAGGCTTTGATGCCCGTCCTCCTGGCTCCTCCTTGCTGCTCCGTCAACCACACTGCTTCATAACAGTCACTAAGGTGATTATTAGAATTAACCTACAACTACTGCACCTGCCTTTCAGTCCCATTCATCGTACCCTTAAGTTTTCAGGACTGTCTACACACAGGCACTCAAAAGAATCTGTTGTCGCTGTTGCTGTAGCCAGAATGCACTGAAGGCACCTGATCTTGTCCTTGTCTCCCCACTCTCGGTCCCCGTTGCCTGGCGTCTGGTCCATCGCAGCAATACTTCATCCTGCTGATTCTGACCGACGGCGTCATCACAGACATGGCCGACACCCGGGAGGCCATCGTCCACGCCTCCCACCTCCCCATGTCGGTCATCATCGTGGGAGTGGGCAACGCCGACTTCAGTGACATGCAGATGCTGGATGGTGACGACGGGATCCTGAGGTCACCCAAGGGAGAGCCTGTCCTTCGAGACATTGTTCAGTTCGTGCCCTTCAGGAACTTCAAACACGTACGCATATCTCGGGGCTTCCCATGGGAGGGCAGGACCAAAACAAACTCACTCCTTACGTGTTTCCGCCAGTTGGTAGGGAAGCAACGCCGGCTATCCCTGCCTGCCTAGGCCAGGCCATCTCCCCCACAGGAGATGGAGAGCTTGGCTCTTTGGAGATAAAAGTGTAATTTGAATTAGAGATGAGAAGTCTTGCCAGCTATAGCAGCCAACATTTCACCGGCACTTGTCCCATCCATATAGCTTAGGACCTTGGTGCCGTCAGGGCTGCCATGTACAGGTGGGCAGAGTGTTCCCTGTGCAAGGGCCTGGCCAGAGAAGCAAGGGGCAGCTTCAATTCGGCCTGAGTTCTGCCTGTCGAGCCCTGTGCCCTGGCAGAGGCTCGTGTTTGCCTTGGCAAAGCATATTTTCAAATTGATAGAGGCCTAAATCCTCTATAAGTATGGTAAGCAGCACCAAGGAATTTAGTTAACTCCTTAAGGATGGAACCAGTAAGATGACAAAGGTAGTTCAAAGGAGGATATAACATAGTTGACTGTGGTCAGTGGGGAAAAGGCTGGAGTACGTTTGCTAGGGCAGGTTCAAAACTAGGGAATGGCCAAAGGGGTTAAAAATAAATAAATAGACTTTGGATTACCTTCTCCACTGGACAAAAATCTCCCCAGTTTTCCACAAGTTGACATCTAGCTGTACAGTCTTGAGCTGTAATCAATAATAAATAATGTCAAGCAGCATTACCTCCCCCTGATGACCCAAAGCAGGCGCAGTAGACAGTGCTCTAGTATGACATCGAAAAGGGCTTAATAACAATGTTTTGGCATTTCAATTGTTGGATCATTGTTAACTCAGTAGAAGGAGGGGCACCTTTAGAATTCCAACAGCAGCCTACACCTGTGGGGCTGAATTACCCAGGACGCTTCTAATTCAAGCAAAGGCTCCCTCCGGCCTGGGGGTGGCCCTGAAGAACCCTTCAGAGCCTCCCCAGCTGTGTCTGGGAGCCCTTGAGGGTCATGTGGGCTGTCAGACAGTCCTCTGTGACCTTCTGTTCCTTGCCTCAGGGAAAGTCACTCAAGAGCAGAGCAGCCCCGCCCCCATACCCCCTGTGGCTTTGCCCTCTCCACCACTGGTGGGGCCAGCAATACCCCTCCCAGTGGGTGGCAACTGAACTTGAGCTGCCCCACACGAGGGAATCTCCAGAATGCTCAGTGCCCTGAAGCAACTCCGCAGTCCCCTTGGAAACTGAGAATCCCCTCCTGTCCCTGCTGCTATGACCCCTCTGTCACCTGGGCCATCACTGCAGTGAAGTCTGATCCCTACATCTCAAGGGTCCCTGCTGGAAACATCTGTAGCTTCCACTGCAGCTCCTCAATCCTCAGGGCTGAGGTCAGTAATCTAGGGACCCAGAGAGGAAGGGACAGGCTCCACACCATCCACTCTAAGCTTTCCTTCCTAATGCTTTTTTGGAAAAGCCTTTCTACTCCAGCCAAAACCCCTCATTCAATGGGGTTTATCGGATATATCCAGGCACCTGTGAATCCCACTTGGAACCCACACTGGGACCCCAGCTACACTGGGCAAGGTAACTATAGGGGGTGAAGGATGGATGGACAGTTGTTTACATAGACAAGTCCCAGGGCCAGCGTCAGAGCCTTTGGCCTGTGCTTTGCAGAAATTGCCTGGTGTTCCGCTGCCGTCTTGGGACAGGAGTTAAAGCCAGCGTCAGGTAAATGGCAAGCCCAGTGGCCTCCACTGAACCCCAGATCTCATGAATTGCCAGCTCCATGGAGGGAGGTCACCGCTCACTCCAGGGCTCCTTGAACAATGAGGTATAGCTTAGACACCTAGTGCCACACAATTCTAATGCCCCTCTTAAGGAGGGCTACAGTGTAATTAGAATCCTTAAAGGAGCAAAAGAGCAATCCTTGACTACAGAGTTGAGTGCAGAGGGAGTTCCAAGTAACAGCCCCAACAGGCTCACAGGCAGCGAGCATGGTGAGGGGTGACCGTTCCACTGTAGCCCCTCTTCCTCCTGCCCGAGGAGGAGGTTTCCAAACGAAACCGCTCATCAGATGAAAGAGGCTCACCGTGTCCTCGGTTGTCTGCATGTGGACAGCAAGGAGTGCTGTCCTTTTCTAGGAAGGATGTGCTGGGGCCGGCTGAATGCACTGCTGCTGTGTTCATCAATGAGACTACTTACCTGCCTGATGCCCACGGTGGGGAAAGGGGTGCTCTTCCAGGTTGTGATGTCCTGCTCCATCTGGTCAGCAGGACAGAATAGCCATATCACTGACCACCACCTATAACTGCCTGAGTGAAGGGCCAAAGAACTTACTCCCTGGGAGAGTCATGCACTGCCCCAAACCACCTTCCCCTGCCACACACACACACACACACACACACACACACACACACACACACACGTGTGTGTGCCAAAACAATGCAGCTGAGCCAGGCTAGGTTCTAGCCTCTACCCCAAGCCTCCTCCCCTCATGGAGTGCCTACTGTGTGCAAGGCATGTGCTAGCATTGGGGCCACAGCGAGGTGAGAAAGCCGTGGGTCCAGGCTGCAAGGGATGAACTGGGGGGTTGCATGGTTGGGACATAGGAGTCAGCAGAAATATCTGTGGGTGACTGAAAGGGGCTAAAATGTTGCTACGGGACTTCCGAGCAGAGAGAAGTTGCCATGAGGAAAGTCCTTGAGCAGAGAGAAGTTGTATGAGGAAGGACAGAGCCTTGGTAAGCCGGGAGTGGAGGGGCATCGGCCAAGGGACCTGCCCTGATTGGGCGAGGAAGTGGCACACTCGCCGTGTGTGCTGCAGTCTCCAGCTGCTCAGAACGCCAGGAGCATATCATCCACCTTATCTTCATGGATTTCAAATTAGAATTTGAAAACCATTTCATTATCCAGACGACACTGAATTCAATAAGCCATAAATAAAATGAAAAGTGAGGAACTGATACACTTCATAGTAGCCCGTAACCCAGGAGCTGTCTCTCTTTTCCTGCTCTGCACGATAACTCAGGGCTTTGAAGTGGACAGGGCACTGGCTCCGAGCTGTGTGATTCTGGGCAAGTCATTTAACCCCTCTGTGCCACAGATTTTCATCAGTACAATGGGGCAAATGACATGCGCATTGGAAGATTAAAGGTGGAGTCTTCACAAAGCTTAGCACAGTGCCTGGTCTGAGTAGGTGATTAATAAATACAGCTGTTATTACCAGCTGTTTTCACATTTTTGGCCTTTTCCTAACCAACTAATACCCCCCAGCCCCTATTTGCTCACCAGACCCACCAGCACACGTGGGAGAATCACTTAATCTCTGTGCTGTCCCATGCAGTAGCAAATAGCCACATGTGGGTATTTACATTTAAATCATTACAATTAAATAAAATTTTAAAATGATCTCTTCAGTTGCACGAGCCACGTACCAAGGATGTATTAATTGCATGTGTCTAGTGACTACCATATTGGACTTTCCATCATGGTAACAAGTTCTATTTGACAGCACTATTTAGAAAAGTTTTTGTCTCCAAATAACAGCAAATCCATCTTACAGTGGAATACATGAATGGTTCTTAACCAAGGGTGACTCATTCCCCAGGGGACACTTGGCAATATCTGGAGACATTTTTAATGATGACAGTGTGGAGTGTCGAATTCACATCTAGTGGCTAGAGGCCAGGGATGTTTGTAAACATCCTACGATGCACAGGACAGTGCCCCAAAGAATTATCTGGCCCAAAACAGAAGTAGAGCTAAAGCTGGGGAACCCTGGATTAATTAAGTACAAACATATTTTTCTCATGTAGCTAGAAGTTAGGGAGTGGGGGCTGCTGACATCTGTTTTTTTCAGTGATGTGATAGTGTCAGGGCCAGCACTTGGCAATTCCCTTGGTGATAAAATGGTTGCCGTAGCTCCAGGAATCACATTCCTGTTCAAGGCAAAGAGGAAGAGGAAAGGGACACAGAGCCAACCATGTCTGTCCCCTTTTACCAAGAAGAAAAGCTTTCCAGCATCCCCCAGGAAAGCAATTTCTGTCTCAAAGATGAAGTTGGATCACATGGACCTCCCTAGATGGAAGGGAGGCTAGGAAATCACGTATTTGGCTTTGTAGCTTTTCTACGAGAGGTGGCCAGAGAGAAGGGATGGAAATGACTTTTTATATACCCCAGTATACACATGGATCATGAGCAACACACAACCCTGAGCAGTTATTTATAAAATAAAAGAGCATTCATGGATGTCAAATGTCCAACAGGCTATAACATCTCCAAGATGTAAAGAATCATCTTATTATTTTTAAATATGATTTTATTGAGAGAGAGAGAGAGACATCAATGTGAGAGAGAAACATTGATTAGCTGTCTCCTGCATGTACCCTACTGGAGATTTAGTCTGCAACAGGGCATGTGCCCTAAAGAATCACCTTATTATTTTTTAAATATGATTTTATTGATTTTAGAGAGAGAGAAAGGAAGAGGGGGAGAGAGAGAGAGACATCAATGTGAGATAGAAACATTGATTAGCTGTCTCCTGCATGTCCCCTACTGGAGATTTAGTCTGCAACAGGGCATGTGCCCTGACTGGGAATCGAACCCGGGAACTTCTGGTGCATGGGACAACACTCAACCAACTGAGCCACACCAGCCAGGCATGAAGAATCCTTCTAGAAAAATTCCTCACAGTGTTTTCAGATTGTTGTTAAGATATGTCTCTTATTTTGAGCCTCCTAAAAACTCTGTGAGATAGAATCAATGCTTATTCTTTCCTATTTTGTCTCTGAGAACAACAGGGCTCAGCAAAGCTGAATGGCTGAGTGACAAGCCACATAGGAAGGAAAGAGCTAGCAACCAGGTCATCAGGCATTTAGTATGCTTATTCTTTCCTATTTTGTCTCTCAGAACAACAGGGCTCAGCAAAGCTGAATGGCTGAGTGACAAGCCACATAGGAAGGAAAGAGCTAGCAACCAAGTCATCGGGCATTAGTTCACTCCGTTTCCTTCGGGATCTTTCCTGAGGCATCTCAAACACTTGTTAACTGGTCACTCTGCTTCACATTTTCAATCTCTTCAGTACTTATGATGGGGTTTGAGCAATTTTTCTTGGCCACAGGCTGAGCAGTTAGCACTGAATACCAAGAGTCCATGCAAAATATTAACCTCCACCTCCATCTGCCTCAAAACATACAGTGGAGCCATCATGCTGATAGAATAATGGCTACATTAATTAGCATGGGGGTACTCAATACGCTCCGTCACCAATACACACCTGGCTTCAAGCTTATTTTCCAGCTGAATGCCCCACCCACCAATTCTGCATTTGCACCACACACACACACACACACACACACACACACACACTTCAGTACCATCAGATGACTCACTGTCCCTAAAACAATTAAATGCCAATCCCTTCTCTATATTTTAAAACATACCCAACTTAAATGCCACCTCCTCTTGGAAGCCTGCTCTGATTTCCTCCAAGATGACGTAGTCTCTGTTTTCTGCGCTCCGGTCACACAGTGCTTATGACTCTGGAGCAGTGCTTCTCACATTCCATATGCACAGGAATCATGGGCATCAAATTAAAATGCAGATTCTGATTCAGTAGCTCAGAGATGGGTCTAAGATTCTATGTTTCTAATAAGCACCCATGTGATGTGATGTTGTTGGTTTGTAGCATGTGTCATCTTTTACCTTAAAGTAGGGTTAATTTTGGCTCCTCTCACATGATGCTAACTTCCCTAATAGTAAGAATAATAAACCCGCCCTAACTGGTTTGGCTCAGTGGATAGAGCGTTGGCCTGTGGACTGAAGGGTCCCAGGTTCGATTCTGGTCAAGGGCATGTACCTTGGTTGTGGGCACATCCCCAGTGGGGCGTGTGCAGGAGGCAGCTGATCCATGTCTCTCTCTCGTCGATGTTTCTGACTCTCTATCCCTCTCCCTTCCTCTCTGTAAAAAAATCAATAAAAATATATTTTAAAAAAAGAATAATAAACCCTAGCACAGTGCCTAGAACCTAAGTAAGTGTCTAGCATTGGATATAAATAGAAACAAAAGTGCAAGACAGTTCATTCTGCCACCTGATTTTCACCCATATTTCAGATGTGAACAGTGTGATATTTTGAGACAGGCATGCAAAAATAAAATTACGGAATTCATGGTTCAGGTTCCAACAACCTGACAACTCTTGCTTGGAGGCCCTTGTCAAATGCTGAATGAATGAATGAATGAATGAATGAGAGAGAGAGAGACTAGTGCTCAGAATAGGACTCAAGCCTTTGAGGCTGATTCTCAGCTTCCTCTGGCCAGCTGCCAAAGTCATGGTGATTTCTTCCTCCCTGCAGGCATCTCCGGCTGCCCTGGCAAAGAGCGTGTTGGCCGAAGTCCCAAACCAAGTCGTGGACTATTACAACGGCAAAGGGATTAAGCCAAAATGTTCATCAGAAATGTATGAGTCTTCCAGGACACTAGCACCATGAACTCCACACACTTTTACAGAGTTCCGAAATACTGCTCCTGCTACTATTTACTACTTCTACTGCTCCTGTACTTTAAAAAGCCACACATTTAAAAACTAGCACGTTTTGGTGATTTTTAACTAACTGGCCATTTTTTTTTTCTTTTTTGCATGTGTAGCCCTAAGGCCTGGATCTGGTAAGCCCTTGTATTGTTAAAGACTTTTTACAAAGACACACAAATAATTCCAACTTACTCTTTACATTACAGCATGTCGACTTGAAATAAAATGGTATCTGTATCTGTTTTTTATACAGGTTTGTTGAAATTTTGCTAAATTTCTTATTATCTTTACACTGTAAAGCATTTTGAAACAACTACTGAACGTTGATAGCCAAAACATATTTGGTTTTATCTGCTACAGGATGAGAGACTTTTCAAAATGGTAGATGCATGGACTGTATTTTGCATGTTTAAAAAACAAAACAAAACAAAACAAAACACAACACCCACACTGTTTTTGCAGTTGTTATCTATAATTCATCCCTGCTGAGAATGGTCTCTCTGCTGATGAAAAGATGTAGTCACCTAGGATTAGTCTTCTTGATGGCGGTCTGGGAACTTAGCCCAGCACCTCTCAGACTTTGCTGGGGATCTTGTCAAAATTGGGACCGTGATGCCATAGGTATGCACAGGCCCAAGATTCTGCTGCTCTGACAAGGTCCCAGGGCAAGCATGTCAAACTCAAAGGCTAACACGGGCCAAATAAACGAGGCATGCGGCCCATGGGCCGCGAGTTTGACATGCTTGTCCCAGGGGATGCTAGTGCAGTCTTCATATTGCACTGAGAGTACTGAGGTTCTAGACTTTAGGGTGTGATTGTAGAGACCATCTGAACCAGGGCGGACCCTAGTCTGCTTGAGAATGACACCTCTTCCCCATCAGTAGCACAAAGGTAGCCTGTCTCTGAGGAGGGAGTAGAAAGTAGTGAGACTGATTCCAGAAGCTGCACACCCCACATCAGCCTCACTGCTTTGTAGTCCCACCTCTTCCTTAAACAGATGAGGGAGTATTCCCCCTGGCCGGCTCCTGCCCTCTTAAAGGAGGCCTCTCTCTCCTTGCATGAATGATGCCATGTTTACATCAACCCCAAAGAATGACCTCGAAAAGTCTTCAGTAGAACCGTGACAATGGAGACTTGGCCATGGCAAAGGGCTGTGCGGTGTCGCTCCCCAGAAATGTGGCCCACCGAGTTGATTTTTAAGCTGAGCGTGGGGCTTCTTTTTGCCTCTTCTTTATCACTCCTGAGAGCAAACTTTATCAGCAGAAATGCCTACAATCATTCTTTTAGGTGGTGGTGTTTTGTTTTGATATAAAATGGCCAGTTTTGAACCAGAAGAATGAATGTTTCACTTATATAATCTTCTCACAGGGAAATGAACAAATGTTTTGCAGCATAAAAGGCACAAGACGGTCAGTGAGATAGGGAGGTAAATCGCAAGGTGAAATAGATCTGTATGTTGTTTGTTTGTTGAGGGGGGGACATATTAACAAGCAAATCAAATAGGCTTTGTATAATTTCCAGTGTTATAATTATAGATTCTAACCTTGCAAATACATGTCAGCCAAATGCACAACATTTTGGGAATGATGGGGAAAATGTATGACTGAAAAAAATCATAAATATTTAAACTGTATTGTTTTATGAATAAATTGGGTACTTACAGAATTTTTTTTAAGAGTTATGGTCTTGTTTCTCTTTTCAAGGCTTTTTTTTTTACCAGCGATTTATTTCATGTAGGGGGCATGGCTTCAGATTAGGACGAGCTCTTTCAAGGTCCCATAAAAACATGGATCATTGTTCTTAATAGACAATATTTAGGTTCTGTCCTACAGAAATATCTGGCAGTTGTTTCTAGCCCCAAACCAGGACAGGAGTTTCTTTGTCTGTGTGCCTGGAACAAAGTAAGCACTCAATAGATATTTTATGAATAAAGAGATGACTAATCAAATGAATGAATGCATGAATGAATGAGTGAATGAATGAACTTATTAACATGCCTCATGAGCAATCGAAGTTTTTTTTTTAATATATTTTTTGATTTTTTACAGAGAGGAGGAGAGAGGGATAGAGAGTTAGAAACATCGATGAGAGAAACATTGATCAGCTGCCTCCTGCACACCCCCTACTGAGGATGTGCCCGCAACCAAGGTACATGCCCTTGACCGGAATCGAACCTGGGACCCTTCAGTCTGCAGGCCGACGCTCTATCCACTGAGCCAAACCGGTTAGGGCAGCAATCAAAGTTTTAACAAGTAGAGTGAGTGGCTGTGGCTGTCAATCAAAATGATGCACCATGCCATCCTCAAATATCTGTTGAGATCTGTTACATTCATGTCAGGGCTTTCTGGGATCTGTGAGATGGAGTGACAGAGACAGAGTTCAGTTTGCCTAGCAGAACCTTATGAGAGTTGACTACCTTTTTCATAGCCAGACCGAACCCCAGCTCAAAAGAATAATAAAAATAAGGGCTTACTGTATGCCATCCACTGTTTTAAATGCTTGTCACACACAATCTCATTTAATCCTCCCAACAGTCCTAAAAGATAAGTAGTAGTCGTAGCCTCATTTTGCAGATAAGGAAACTAAGACACAGAGAGGTTGAATAACTAACCTAAGGTCACACAGCTATCAAAAGGCATAGACACTCTGGCTCCTGAGCTCAAACACATTTTTGTATATAGTTGATGGTTCTATATCCATCCATTGCGGTATCAAGCAGCAGATTCTTAAGAGATTTGAGAGAATGTGACTTAAAATATGACCTTTACCTTTATTTCAGAAATTTCTTCTCATCTGGTGATGTCAGCTTTTTGTTGTGGGTCTTGGCATCTTGTGATGTACAGCGTCCCCCTGGGAGCCGTAGAAGAGTCTCAGGATACAACTAGGTCTTCCCAACTTTTTGCCACCAAAGAGGCCATGTAGATCGGACATCCCCAATACAGATGCTCCCAGGAGCTGAGCAAGCCATGTGAACAACCGAGGAGGAACAGGTTCAAACAAAGGGACATGAAGAGTAGAGTGTGGTGAGGAGGGAGGGAAACTGGAAAGCGTGTGCCCAAAAGAGGGCAGCTGCCACCCAGCTCCAGGGGTCATGCACAAATGTGGGCCCAATGCAGCCAGTTCATCCTGTTTTTCAAGAGAATTGAATAACCTGATATTTGTCACAAAACCCACCAATTTGTAAATATGGAAAACTCATTCAAAATTAAACAATTTGTAGACACTACAAGTGTTGTAGACACTGCAAAATGAAAAATATCTCTGGGCTTACATTGACTCTGGAGTGCAAATTTGGAACCACTGACTTACTATATCCATGGCCTGCCCACCACTAGGCTTCAATAGATACCATAGACTAAATTCTTGAGGACAACACAGATTTTATGTCTGTGGTATATGTCTATTGATACTTGTATTAGAAACTGAAACTGCAAATGTAACATATTACCAATTTATTTAAATAACAATGATAAACCCATAATGTGTTAACATAAATAAAATATTTTTTATTTTAAAAAACTATATTTTTCCACCTGAAAATTATATGATCCTATTAACCCATGTCACCTCAATAAGTTTAATTAAAAAATAAAAATAACTTTTTAAATCTATATGTTCAAAACCAAAAAAATACTGAGATTGAGAAGTTCAGTGTGTCTTGCTTAATAAAAGACAGCTGGATTCTCATAGCTGCCTCTGCATTCAACCTATTGTGAAATGATGTTTTGGTTGAAGTACAATGAAAAAAATCTAGCCTCACATGGCAACATAGTTGATAAGAGGAGGAGTATTTTTAGCTTTCTTAGATAACTGTGCTTACTCTTCTTTTTACCACACCAAAAGTTAAGAAGGGGTAGTTTCTTAAAGTTTAGCTTTAGAAATAGGCAATCATATCAGTAAACCTTTCCTGGCATCTTCAGTGGTTCTTTTGCCATGCATGACTCTATAATAGTATGCACTGGTCGTTTGGAAAATGTTGATCCACTCAGTTATTCAGATATTCTAAATGCTCACACACTTTGTTTTACAATATAAGAAACATCACATTCTTGCTGTTTCATATCACTGCCAATCTCACCACACAGTCCTGAAGTATTGAGAATCTGTCGCATTAAGGTGGCAGATCCAGGTTTTCCAAACTTCTCATGTTTGCTAGAAAGCTCAAGTGTTATCCTTGGCAACAAACACTGTCAGTTGTTTTGCTTGAAGTGACAGGCTCGACTTCATTCATTTTCAAGAAAATATCTCCTAAATACACGTCTGAATAACTTGTTTATCTGTCTTTTTGTCAAGTAGAAATGGGGGGAGGGGGGAGAGAACCAGCTAGTTTGGGCACATAGACGTTTCCTGGAGGCCACCATCTCAGCTGGAACTAGCAGAGGCACTTTCTGGGTGCTTTGCCCCTTGTCACCCAGCCTCTGAAAAAGGCGTGAGAGCCAAGATTTAACAACATGTATAATTGTTCTGCTCTACCAAGAACACCCTTAGGTGACACTGCGTGTCCTTTCCTGCGAGGGTGTGACAGTGAGAAATAAATGACCACTGGTGCCTCCTTCTGAAAGGCAGTGAAGACTCCAGCAGACTGACCCACCATTGCTTTTGCACCATTAGTGCAAACGTCAGCACAGTGACACAGGCAAGTGACAGCTTTGTGTTTTTACCTCGTAGACTCCTTGAAAGGTTCAGGGACCTTTGGGAACCACGCTTAGAACTGCTTGCTCTAGACCACCCGGCAGAGGGTGCACGGGTTCACTGTCTCTGCGTCACAAATCCCCCACAAGCTCCGTGGCTTCAAACAACACTTTATCATCACACAGTTTTGCTGTCAGTCACAAGTCCAGGGAGACTCAGCTGGGTCCTTTCAGCCTCCTGAGGGTGGAATCGTGACATCAGCCGGACAGCCTTCCTTACCCGATGCCCCGCAAAGAATCTGCTTCCCGGCTCCCTCAGGCTGTTGGTTGAAACTGTAGAGCTGAGGTCCCATCTCCTCGCTGGCTGTCAGCTGGGAAGGTGGTAGGGGCAGTCTTTACTCTTGGAGACTTTGCACATTTCTTCTCCTGTTTTCCCTATGGCCCCCTCCTGCACTTGTGTGTCAAGTGCCCCTCAAACATTGAATCTCTCTGACTTCTCCCGCATCTCTGACTCCAGCCAGAAGAAGTTCTCTGCTTGTATGGGTTCATGTGGTTAGATGGGACCATCCAGATAACCCTGGGTTCGCTATCCTAAGTTGTATCACCTTAATTACATCTGCAAAGTCCCTGGTGTCATGTGACATAACATGCTTATAGGTTCCAGGGATAAGGGCACAGACATGTTGGAGGAGCACTCTGTCCACCACAGTGAGAATGAAGGATATTGCCCGATGGTTCGAAAAGGAAATATGGGGTGTTCCAGTACTGTAAGAGGGCTGCCCATGGAGACAGAAGGGGGTCAAGGAGGGGTACAGTGTAACAGACTAATTCGAGCGAGGGGGTGTCTATTAAAGCCAAAAGTCTGTTAAATAACAAAGTAGGTTTTCCAAATGCATGTGTTAAAAAATTGATAAATTAGTTTACCTGTAGACATGTTTGTGCAATTAAAATCAAGTATGTATGAAGTTTAATTTCACAGGAAAGTTTTCTATATGTATTACAATGATTTTATACTGAATGGGTCTAGTAAATGCGAGAATTCATCAGTTACCTCCAGTAAACAACTGCACACGGCTGGGGCATGTTTAGCTTAGTGCACGTGTGAACATCGGCTGACCAGCACGTGTTAAAACTCCTGCAGAAAGTCAGCCACGCGACAAAAGAACCAATTACCGAGAGCACGGTGCGGTGTGATCACGTGCTAAACAGTTGCTGAACATTGTTTACCAGCGGTGACTCTTGGATTTAAATACTTAGACTAGTTGTGGCTATGTAATGTTTACTTACGTTGGTGAAATTACTACAGAGTTTCCTCTGACATATGGCCTATTTGCTAAAATTTGTTACAAATAACAGTGAATTAATAACAAAGAATAACCTGTTAATTTCATTATAAGCAAATCTTGGTTAAAAGTATTTTTAAATTAACAGGGTATTCACTTTCACAAATGACATACGGACCAGAAATTTTGTCTATTAAATCTAAAGTCCATTAAATCGAGGTCCGCAAAGTCTAGGGTTTACTGTAGTGAAAAGCTACCTGCTGATTTCAAACCTCTGCCCAGGAGAGCTTCTTCCCGTCTGTTTGGATATCTGCCTTTTTCAGTCTTCCCAGAACTTGGTAAGTACCAACCCTGCACCAGGCAGAGGGGTGGGGAGGGTGGTGTGGGAGTTAGGAATGAAGGAGGCAGAAGGGAAATACCTGGTCTCTGCTCCCAGAGGAGCTCACAGCCTAGA